ATATATATATATATATATATATATATATATATATATATATATATATATATATATATGTATATGCATGCATGCATGCATGCATGCATGTGTGTGTATAAACTGTAGGAATATATTTCAGCCCCCAGTGACGGACGTTGATGTGTTTGAGCTGGAGGGGGAGTTGCTGCCGCTTGCTGCTGTGCAGCAGCAGCAGCAGCAGCAGCAGCAGCAGCAGCAGCAGCAGCAGCAGCAGCAGCAGCAACAGGTGCAGCAGCAGCAGCAGCGGGAGCAGCAGCAGGAGCAACGGGAGCAGGAGGAGGAGCAGCAGGAGGAGCAGTTGGTGCTGCTGCTGCAGCAGCAGCAGCTACAGAAGCTGCAAGAGCTGCTGCAGCAGGGGTGGGGGCTTGCCTGCTGCTGCGACCTGCAGCAGCTGAGGGGCCTAGAGGAGATAAGGGTGTATTCAGGTGTATACGCAGATGAGTTGCTGCTGAGCAGCAAAACACAGCAGCAGCAGCAGCAGCAGCAGCAGCAGGGGGTGTCAATCGATGGAGATGCTGCTGCAGCTCCGTGTGCATCTATTGCTGCTGCTTCTGCTGCTGCTGCTGCTGCAGCAGCAGCAGCAGAAAAAGAAGAAGAGCTGAGGTGTAATGATAAAGAAAACAAAAAAAAAGAACAAAGACAAAACATACGCCTTCTCTTGACTCGTCACTGGGATTGGGAGGCTGAGCTCCGCTCCACTGCAGCAGCAGCAGCAGCAGCAGCAGCAGCAGCAGCAGCAGCGGCAGCAGCAGCAGCAGGTGGTGTTGCTGCACCCACAGCAGCAGGAGCAGCAGCAGCAGCAACAACGACAACAGCAGCAGCATTGGAGGAAGGGCAGCAAAAGAACTCAGGTGTATATACAGCATGCACTGCAGCAGAAAGCAGCAGCAGCAGCAGCAGCAGCAGCAGCAGCAGCAGAACTCCCCTTATCTGCTGCATGCAACTGGTTGCTGCGTATACACCTGAAGAAGCAGCAGCAAAGTACAAAGGGATGCTGCGCGGGGTAGAAGCAACAGCAACTCTATGGGGAAAACAAAAACCAGCAGCAGCAA